TACTCGATAAGTAATAATTTTTCATTACCAAAAGTTACTTTTTCGAAATTTGCAGAATACAACCCAAAAACAGATGATCATACACCACAACTAAACACACTAGTTAGCGTTTAGAATGTTTTATTTGTCAACACTTTTAAATATTGATATAATGGAGATGTTACGTAGCTCAGGTGGATGATACTGGATTATATGTGTTCTCTGAGCTGGTTGATTTAATTAAGAAGTTCTCATCTTCCTTCTAGACAACATCCTCAGCGAAGGTTTTAGTATAAAATGAACTGATTTAAATCCTCCATCAATGATGTAATTGTATCCTCTGACGACCACTGTCGTGACTGGTTGTTAATTTACGTCGGTCAAAGTGGACGTCCTCTTCGAATCCAAATCTAAGAACAAAAATTGGCTGTAAAAAGGCATAATATATATTCTTTCGTATCAATGCATGTGGACAATTATGGACACCAATTTGATTGGGATAATCTAGAAATTTTAAATGAAGGAAACACCGAAAATACTGCCAGGGGATTCCTAGAAGTCTGGTACTCAAGCGAATCAGCCAGCGATTAACAAACACATTATTATAGACCAAATATACCAGCTAATAAAAAGTAAATCACATGACAAGAAAGTTCGAATTCCAAGTGAATAAAAATGATCAGGAGAGGCGTAAATTAACAACCAGTCACGACAGTTGTCGTCAGGAGAAACAATTACATCATTCTTCGAGAATTTAAATGAGTCCATTTTCTACTAAAGCCTGAACTGAAAATGTTGTCTAGAAAGATGACGAAAGCTTCGCAATTCAATGAACTAGCCCAGAGAACACAAATAATTCATTACTTTTTAAATACTGTAGTTTTAAATCCATTGGCTGTATCCACATGACACTGATTTAATTACAAAAAGTCAATGAAAGTTAGTAAGAATTTTACAAAACTTGCTAAGCGTTTGTGATCATTTGTGAAGAATAGGCAACCGAATTCGTAAATGCTAATTTTACTTGTACAGGATAATAATATTTACTTTACCACATTTTCGGACAGCCATGTAATTTTTCATTTCAGATAACATTATCTGAAATTTGAAACTCCTTTCTTCACATGAAAAAAAGCTGTCCGCTTATCTTTTACAATGTATTCTACTAATGTCATTCTTAGGGTTGTATTATCATTATAAATATTATTCTGCACTAAATACTGTTTCAGCATTCATCATCTAAATATATTTTAGATTTTTTACCATATAATTTAATTATTATCAATTTATACCATCTTGTTTAGGAAACACGTTTTACCCTTGTATGAAATGTCAGGTGTTTATACATTTCAGTGATACATACACGCATGCGTACAAAATTTTGTTTTATATATTATGAAAATGTATTTTATGCTATCGTGCCAGTATCAATATGTGTTAGTGAATAGTATTCAGATTACGTGAGATATTGTTAAATTGTTTTACTAATTCTAAGTGTTTAACCGATTAAAAAAGAATATTTTTCCGGATGAATGAGCATCATTTGGATTTAGGATAGTATTTTATCCAGCGTGTGGAAGAATGTTAGTTTCCGGTAGACACACTTCTAAAGTACGCTTAGGCGGTATTGAACGTGATAAAGAGGCCTGAGGGGGGAGGATTAGTTGTTTGGTTTACTATCCCGCCCCAAAATAAAGCACACCACTGTTACGGAAGTTTCAAAGATTAAGCTTGAAGACCTCTGCGTTTCATTTGGAAATCAAAGGAAAAATAAGCGAAGAATGTCATTGTGTATGTGTTCCGCATTTACACATACACATTTTGTTACTTATACCAACCATTCTAACTTTTTAAAATTTAATCAATACTGCTTAGTGTGCTTTAGATAAATATTACAAAATTATTTCTCTTTTATCAATATATTACTGTAACTTGAAATTGAGTGTAGGGAAATTTAAGTCTCAGAAAAAATTTGGATTTTGGAGATCCATAGATCAAACTGTTGAATACTTCTGAAAACAACAGCGAATCACAGAGTTGACAGGTATGTGAGGACAACCGCCTTTTATTCTTAGGAAAGATCTGTAATTATCTAATATTTTCTAAACTAGATCTCAGCAATATAAGAATAGAACTTGAGCACTGTGGTAAAGTATAATTCCATTGTAGGTAAAATTTATTTTGATAAATTCTCACAGTGTTGTACAGTAATATTTACTGATGACGTTTCGAGCTCATAATCATATCAAGTTACTCACACAACTTTCCAAATTCGTTTAAATAATTCCATTATTTTTCATCACTTGGCTTGATTGGTATTAGTATTTTCTATATTTCCGGTATAAGTGGTGAGTCATTCCTATTGTACGTTTTGCGTGTAAATTCCACGAACAATGATACAGTAATCAACCTCTCTCTCCAACTACCCATATTACTTCTTAGAATTTTAATCCTCCCCCACCCTATTGTATGGTTGTGTTAATGCATGCAGTGCAACTGCTGAGTTTTCTTTACTAAATTACTAATCTTTTTGGGATGAATCATTCTAACCTTAGCTAAATTTTTATGTTCTGATAATCTCACTACTCCCGATCTACTAGTCTGACCTATGTAGTTGACCTCACTCACAGTCATTCCAAGTTATTTTGTAAATTGTATAAATTTATCTAATTGGGTCAACTGGGTCCTTCAACCTACAGAGTTTGTCTCTGAGTTAATTCGTAGATTAAAATGCCACTTTAATTCCTGCTTTATTAGGAATCCTACGTAGGGTCTCAGAGTCCTCTCCTCATATGGTAGAACTGTAGATGCCTTATATTTTCTTTTATTTATGTTATTATTATTAGTCTTACTATTAATTTTACTTTGCTTTTGACCATTTTTGATCTTTTTAGTGAATTTTAAAGGATAGTTATTCAACACCAACGCTTCGTCTGTCTGTTTTATTTCATCGTTTAGGGTTTTGTTGTACTACTTAGTGCTATTGCTCTGTTTGTTAGACATTTAGCTAAGCCTGCCTTTACAGATAACGGATGAGATGAATTAAAGTCTAAATATCCATTAGAATGCGTTGGTTTTTTATAAACGCTAGTGTTCAGTTTACTTTCTTTTGTCTGTTTTATTTTTCAATCTAACATAGCTAATTCTCCTTGTTCATTTTCAGATTCAAATGTGAATTTTATTCCTTTCACTAGTGAGTTTATTTATGTGTGTGAAGAAGCTAGTGACATGTTCTGTTATTAACACGGTGAAAATGTCATCCACGTATCTACACCATATTTTTAGAGTAGGATTAAATGCATTAAGAGCAATATTTTCCCAGCTGTCCATAAAGATATCTGCTAAGATAGGGGATATTTGTGATCTCATTGCTACACCTTCTGTTTGTAGATGTGAGGTATAAGTGAATTCCTAAAATATTTTTATCATAGGACAACTATGAGTGAGTTCAGGATCCGCAGTTAGTTCTCTTTTAACTGCTTGTAAGGCCATATTGATTGGTATATTCGGGTAAAGACTAGTTATATTAAAACTGACCATTTTTTTATTATTCTCTGAATGAATGTCAGTTTCCTTTTCATTTCATATGCATTAGTTAGCCTTGAGTTTGAACTGTTTCTAATGGGATATATTATTAGAGCTAAGCGTCTTGATAATTCACAAGTAGGTGTATTTCTAAAGTCTACTGTTAGTCGTATGGGGTAACCTAGCTTATGTATTTTAACAGTACCATACATTCTACTATCATTATTAGTTTTAGGTATTCAGTTAAACCATTTAGATCTCAACAAAGAGTTCACTTTTATAAGCATAACATTTTGAATGATAGATACGACTGTTTGGGTTAATTAGAAAAGTCATATTGCCAATAATTAAGAGTTATTTAACTTCTATGTGGTTAAACTTAAAAGCTGTAAAAAATAATCGAAAAAAAGATGCATAAATTAAGAATTCTCGAATTCTAGTAAATTCAATACTGAAAATTGAAAATCGCTTAGCGTGGATCAAATATGTTACCACTTCATATTGATCGACAGAATTAATGACACACTTTTGAGAAAAAACTTTGAATATCATATCGAGCGTTTCTGTAGAATTCGGGAATTTTGACTGGTGAGACGAAACACAACAATTCTAAATTGTTATCTAGGGCACCAATTAAGTTTCGGTAAAGATATGCAAATGTTTTTTGTTGTAAACTTGAACAAAGCAAGAACCATAAATGTAGCAGAAGAACATTAGCTCAGTTTTATTATTTCTCGGATCCTTTTCAACTGTCTATAAGTTGAATAATACCCACACAAAAAAAGTTGAATATATTTATTTCGCATTGACAAGAAGTAATTGATGAGAACATTAGGAAACATTGGTTCAGAATGATGTTATTAAGTGTTAAAAGCATTGAGAACTTATAAGATAAATACATGAATATTCTTAGACATCAAAATATTTAACAGATATGAACTGTAACCAGAAAGAGAATGTTAGTAAAATAAGTTACTTAACTATCAAAAATATTTTAATAAAATAGCCAAAAAGAGTAAGGTGAGGCATGCTCAGATGAAAAAATAAAATTTTCTAAACATAACAAAAGTCGTAGAAGGAGGCATAACGTAACAAAATTGCATAACTTTTTTCTAAGTTTATTTATCAAGATATTGAAAGGTTCACCACACAATCTTTCTTTTTATGTAGATCTGATCTTAATTATTTGATGGCAGTGGCCTTGGCAAAACGTAACAATCTATGCTTCTGTTATATATTTCACATTATTATGCGTTTTCATAAAAGTCATATTGCTAGATTTTTGAAGGAAATTATTTTTACTCAACTTCATTTAAAAAGGGATCCTATTTTCATTTATACACTTAGAAATGTACTTTGTCATTACAACGCCAAACAGATAAAGACGAATAGAACAGAGACAGACGAAATTGGTTCAATTTGTTTCCACATTTGCCTTGACAAAATAAGAAATACATTTAAGAGTTGTTAATTTTTCCTCCTCGATGGCATATGCATTAAACTAGATTATATTCTTTGAGGTTCGCTTGTAGTATAGTATCTTTAACAGCGATGAAAACAACACGTATATTTTCTGTATCTAAAATTAAGACGGAGAAAGTAAGTACAAAAATTAAAATGATAAATTCCAAGTCTAGTTTGTTTGCTTCACTAGAGTGGTTAGAAATTCATCTCTTACAATTATCCTTTTATGCAAACATAAATTGAACAAAAGTGTAATACAAACTTCAGGAGTTTTAAGTATTGGGCCATTGGATCGGCTCCCAGTGGCTTAATGGTATACGAGCTCGCCTTGTAACCAAAAGGTCCTGGGTTCGAATCCCGGTGGGTGCGTACTGATGAAGAGTCCCAAACTAGAACGAAAAATCTGTCCAGTACTCCCTGGTTCTCTTATGATGAAACCCTGTAACCAATTCAAGAGTTTTAGTTTCATGAAAATTGTATTTTGTACAAATCTTACAACATTAACTGTTCGTCTCAATCATTTTACCATTCTTTTTATTAAATCCATGGAATAATAAATGCCTGCTGGTAGATTCGTCTTGTCAGTGCTTATGAAATAAATTGAACTGATGAGCTGTGTTAAAATCTATCATTATTTGCATTTAGAAACTCTAAATGGTTGCATTTATAGAACTTTCACAATTGCATATGCTTGCATTGTCACAAACAGTGATAGGGTGACACCTAAAACCCCTGGCATTTCTACATTGAATGTTATGGAATAGTCTGTTTAAGTAGGGCGTCCTAAGATCACTAGATATTTAGTCAAAAATCGACAGATCATTTAAATTTTCTAAAGTTTGGTTTGTAAGGGTTTGTTATGTTTTTACGAGTTGATCACGGACTAATATCAGTTAGAGAACCATTGAAAACCAGGGAGTACTGGACAACTGCCGATGATTCCCAAACTAGGATGAAACAGCAGTTGTCCAGTACTCCCTGGTTTTCAATGGTTCTCTAACTGATATCAGTCCGTGATCAACTCGTAAAAAAAATCATTTAAACTCATTTTTCTCTTTCATATGCTTTAAGTAATAAGATATACTAGATTTCTTTGAGTACGCTTAATTCTTTTAGTGTCAAATTTAGTATAAAAGCAGTCAACTATGTTTCTTTAAAGTAATTAGGTTTAACCTGTTAACACTTTTCGTTTTCTTATATTATTTATTGTTATTAATATTATTATCAAATACGGATTTTTTATTTATCTTCTGATGGATAGAACCGCTTCATTTAAATCTTTGTTTTCCAACAACTGGGTAAAACAGTTTGCTGAATTTTGATGTGCAGCAACGCTGTGCAGATAACTGTCAATCTTAAAGTTTACAGAACTCCTTTGTACGCACAGTTTAGAACTGTAAATATTTTGAAAGATTATGAAAAAAACAGATATAAGACTAAACAAAATATCCACATCTATAATCCATAGGATATCTTCAAAAATAAAAATAATGAAATACTTTGAATTTCGTAAATTGTAAGTAAATTAAAAATTGTGATTACGTTTCACAAGTGCACTACTGATATGTTTGCATTTTTGTTGTTGAAAATAACCAGAATTTATCTATAAGAAATAATCTAACAGTATTATTATCAGTTAGAATATTAAATAATGTTTATTATTAGTGATGTGAAGTATAACAGCACACTGTAGTATGTGAATAAGTACAACAAACCATCAAAAAATAATATTACTTGGTTTGTCTATTTTTTTAAAGTTTATTTAAATGATATTACAGAATGAGAGTTCAGTATTGAAAGAATTTCACCACTTTAAATTGACGATGACGAATTGCATACAAGTCATCATTAGGACTTTAGTTCTGAATACTGCAACATTAACTTAGTAAGACATATAAAAATATCTTCAAACTGTAAGGCTAGACCTGTTGTAGCTATTAAACATCTTGTTCTAAAAAAGTAAATGGGCTTAACTTTTATGTTAGCTGATTGGAAGCAATCTTCAAAATGCCATGGACCTATGTCCCATGCTTGTTCGTACTCATCAGCAAGGCGTATCTGCAGTCTTGAAGAAATTCATGTCCCCTCTGAAATTTGAACCCGTGTCACAAAGTGTTGCAGTCAGAGATGTAACCATCGAGCTATTCGGAGTTGTGAATGACTTCCAGAAGGACCAATGTCATGCGTCTAGGTAGTGCTTGGGTCGGTGCAGACTGAATTCTCTTAGTCAAGTTCGCAATGTGGTTGTCGTAACAGATGACTAGCTATCGCAGTGCACACTGAACTGAAGTTAACTTTTGTGTCATTAGTATATAATGTATTCTTATGATATTGAAGTTTTATTTTCTCCTACGTGAAAACATGTCGTCTCCAAATTTGGGTAACAGGTCTCTCTTCAATCGCTCAAACAAATTCTAAATTCATTTATTTAGTAGATTGCAGTTAGGATTTTATAAGAGTGTTTTTATTAAAGTCCTTTTAATCGAATTTTTATCGGAGGACTATACACATAAATACTTTTGTCTTAAGAATATAGACAAAGAATTCCATATTTCATTAGTCATGGAAGAAATGGCACGCCAGCTTCTTTATGGAACAATATTGACAGTGAGGTCCCAACTGATTTGGACTAAGTTGAGTGAACTAAACTTAGATAACATAGCTTCATTGACTGTAACTGTAGCAGTGAATGATGCTAGTATGAATCTCTGATAGCGCATAGGTTCCTTTGAATTTGTGATACTAGTAAACAGTTATTGCTGGACTTTTACTGAGTGCTTTTAGTGACCTAACGCGTTCAGAAATATTTTCAAGATAGTAATTAGTATATTTGAATACCACTGAGTAGTATTAAGCTTCATTTTGTAGAGAAACGATGCGGATTACTAAACATATCAAGTGCTTTCTCACCTGACTAATGATTAGAAAGATAAACTCATTCGAGAATTGGGTAGTAGTTAAAAGAAACATGAATGCCTACTACTCAGGAAGATCTCTTAGTCAACTAAACACTGGACTTTGGGTTTTATAAATGTGCACAGTTGTTGTTTAAATTTTGCTAAACAAAGAAATGTTTTAATTATTTGACTGAGTATACAGTGAACTTCGTTAAAAAGCAAAAAACAGTGAATAGCCCTTCACTAAACATCTGTCGTGACTGTCCGAGTTAACCTTATTAGATGTCAGAACAGTTGCTTATCGGTTAATTTTGATTTTTAGGAATGTGAAGCATTATATTTTTAACTCATGATCAATAGAGTAAAAGGATATTCAAGGTTTCGCCAGTTGTCAGATTATGGTTATACACTAATGAAATCTATAATGTTTTTTAAGTAATCCTTCGATTTATGATATATTCATCGCTGTTTCGCCTATAATTAAACTTAGGACAAGAAAACATACTACTGAGAATCAAACGTTATAATTTTCCAATCCATTTCACAGACATCATAGAAACACGTTGATTTACTAATGAAACTCAGTCAGTGAACATTTATCTTTTACTTGTCGGCCTGCTAATAAATAATCAATCTGGTCAGTCTGAAAACGATGAAATTCACTATTCCAAAAGAGCCTATATCTTTAATTGTGGCGGCAATTTTCTATCAGAATTTTTATAGCTTAAACATACTTTTAAAAAAGGTCTGTAATAAGGAAAAAAAATAACCAGGAAAAAATTCTACACATAGCTTTAGGATAAATATTTACTGACTTGAAATTTTGTGAAGTTTTGTGAACAAATGAAGTTACACTCTTCCTTTTTTATGATTAGTATAGAAGAATTTCTTACTTTTATCGAAATTAATCCTTTATACACTCTGGGTTTTTTCTGTGTGCTAAAAAATGCATTTCTATAACGTGGATAAATAAATTAACAAAAATCTACACAATTAAATCTGGAATTGCTTTTTCTTTTTTTCTGAATAGTATTTATTTAGCTCAAATAATATGATCGGACGCTTTAATGTTATAATAATGCAGCTACGCATTTCGCTCTATATGTGGAATTCTACCCCAAAATATTTTTCATACTTTAACTTGTTTTCACGTAACTACTTACATGGGAATACATTGTTTTCTGTGAATTAACTGTTTATTTTCATAGAATAATTTAGCAATTAAGAACCTAGAAGAGGGTAAAGGTTTCGAAGACCAGTGTTCTTCATCGTCTTATTGAAAGGCCGAAATTCACAATGCTTGCAAAACATAGGCCGCATATATCTGCTTCTCAAATAAACTGATTTTCGAAACTATAAAAGTAGATCATATGACTTACACAGTCGTCATTATTCTTCGTCCTTCGTGTTTCCAATGGAATATAGGAATTCAGCAGCATATGTTCATTGTATTTTGTTCCAGTACAGTATGTAGATGAAGCATCTTGTCCGGCATGGCTCTCTCTTCTTAACTTCTTTCCTGAATGCTCTGTAGGTTCTACTCAGATTCCACTTATGTTTTTCATGTTTGCAGGGGTTCATCTTCTAATTCATCATCCTACTTTATCCTTCTTTATCAGCTCTAAGATGTTCTTAGAAAGCCATTCCTTGTCTTGCCTTTTCTTCCTAATTAAGGTGTTTATAGATGTCTCGTTTCACGTCGCTTTTATAAAATTACAGTGTTCTTCCACTTAAGTGCCTTGATGATGCTGCATAATGTCTACGAATCTTTCCAGATAACAAACTTGAAGGTGTTCTTTGTAGATTCGTCTTCCGGTTTCTAGGTGTCTGACTTGAATTGTGCTATATCTTCATCTTCTTTAAAGGCTTTCACCCTGACCTTATAGGTTCCTTGTAATAAGTCGTAATCTCAACCTACGTCTATTCCTTTTTTCGATTTTGTGTCCATTAGGCTATCTCTACTTTCTTAAAATTGGGATGAAGTTTTCTGACTAGTGAAGCCTACATTGCCTTGTGGATATCCTTGTACTTGTACCCTCTGCCACCTCTCACCAAATTAATAAAAGTGTAGAAATCTGAAAATAGTCCTCAGCTGTCATTCATTTCTCCGAGTGCCACTCGACCCTGATGGGTTCTATTCATGTATTCCCTACTCCCAATTTGCCTTGCATTGAAATTACTCCATAGAATTACACTGTCTTCATATGCTTGTGGTCTCGTCCACTACTCTTTGCAGATGTCTGAAAAATTCCCCTTTATTTACTAGATTAGCGTTCCATGTAGCACTATGCGTAGAACTCTATAGTTGTAAGTCTCCTTCCTTTTGAATAGAATTTTGTTTTCATGATTCAGGAGGATATTGGTTTTCATTTCATGAAAGCCTTCGATGGTGTCGGTGACACTTTGATCGCCACTTCCTCAGTGCGCTTGTGGTTGTTGTTCCATAAAAAAAGGCATACCGACTGACTTAGTTTCCGAAGTAATTTTACCACCCTGATTCTAGCGAAGATTAGGTTAATTTTTCTACACATCCCTTCTATGCTTAGAAGCTTTTGTAGTGATTGGAGTAGGGTTGTTATTACTGCCCCCAATCTTCCCTGTTTTTTCGGACTGAGAATAAGCTAGTAAACTAGGGGAGATTAAGCAATTATTAGTCCTCATAGTTAAATGCTTTCACAGATCAGTATTTTATACTTGGGGAGATGGATGATGAGGCTAAGTCACAGTGATAATAGTTAGGCCTACTGATAAGCTATTGCACTCAACTGAAGAGCACCAAATTAGGTGAAATGTGAATTTTTACCTCTAACGATAAAAAGGGATGTTTCAAATATTAGAATTTGAAGTAAAAGTGATATCAGCGTAAGCGTATTTAATTTACTGGACAAAACACACTTTTTCTTATAATTCCCACACCTATAGTTCTATATGCATACCGACAAGTGAGAGATTATTGAAGTGATATTTGATCAAAATTTGACCTGGCGGTTCAGCTAACAGTGTACGCCAAGTGAAACGTAAATGTGTATTTAACAAATTATGTTTCTAAGAATCTCAGGGATATAAAAATCAGCGATAATAACATTTCTTTGACCGAGTGATACTAACTTCTTTAGGTAAATATATAAAAATTTTAAAGGTATAAGAAGATGGGAGTTCAGGTTTTATGGCTGAATTCAGTGCCAACTGATGATACCTAAGTTATTCACATGTTGGTTTGCAGAGATTTGGCTAGCTACAGGATATCATTATGAGCTGATATCGGTTACACAACCATTGGGAAACCTGGGAGTATAAGACAACTGTTCGTCCTAGTTTGGGAATTTTCATCAGTACGCACCCACTGAAGTTCGAATCCAAGAGCTTTTAGTTGCAAGGCGAACTCGTAAACCATTAAGTCACTGGGACCTGACCCAATGCCTAAGTTATAAGTGGTTTTCACAATGAAATTAACCTGACAGCTTACAACATACTGCTTCACCATTCGAACACATAAGGTTGTGAGTGAACTAGGATTTGAACAGATTTACCCTAATACATAGCCCAGCGAGATATCTTATTCTATCAACTCTAAACTATTAGCTCTTTGTTGGTCATTGTGCACAATACGTGGCATCTTTTAATAAATGTGCAACAACAGAGCTCTTGATGACATGAAAGTCCTAGTAGAAGAATCATTGCAATCAAAAGTGTGTGTGAAGTAAAATAAAATAAAAGACTGATAATTTTGTTACCATTATTCATAACTCAGGCACGATTAAACATGCAGCTCTAACTACAAGACTTGAAGACTCATATATATATATATATAACATATACTTGGCACTTTTGAGTCTGAATACTTTCCTAAAGTAATTGCTACCACTTAGTTGAAAGAGACGTTAGCGTTACTCGTCTCATTACTTCTGAGATGTCTACAAATATTATTTATATATTTGTCTATCACATCCAACTCAAGTTCATGGGTTCAGTGCATTTAAAAAGACTCGACAGGTGAGGAACTTAATGTTTTCCGAAAATATGTCTCCGGTATAATACTCTGCACGTATGGATTTATAAGCCACCGTGCTAATAAACAATACAAACATGCATACATATATACTGAAAAATGAAACACAGAGAAATGTTAACACTTTTTAGAAAAGTTTGGTGTTAAAAAGGAGTTGGGCTTATTATTCTTCCACAACCCTTGTATATAATGTTGACAGTGCGTATTCGCCTTGAAGTTTATTACATATCCATTGTCAAAGACAATCAAGGAGTAAATTTATAGACTAGTTACATACCACATATTATGAGGTGCTGAGAATTCGCGATTTTGAAGAAGACAAATCGGAAAAGTTTCACAATTATTTTTAGTATCATGTGAATACTTGTACTTAAAGGAAGTATATGCATAGATTCGATTCAGGGAAAAAAGCGATGTGGAAAAGTTAAAATTGATTTTTTTTAAATATTCCGAGTAAAATCAAAACATTATCCTTGTGTGTTAAAAGAAACCATTGCAAGGATTAATTGATCTATTCCACAACACATAAACTTTCTTAGTGCACTCGAGAATGAAGTCCAAAGAAATCCTCACTTCACTGAGCCTTTAGCTGTACTTCAGATACTCATTGAGCACCTTTAACGCAGACTGTTGCTACGAAGTTTTTAGTCTTACTTTAAAACAACTTGAGTATAATATTCAGGAATAGGCAAATAAGTAAGAACTCTATAAATACTGTCTAGGGAAATATTCTGATGTCAACGATTATGATTATTCCTTTCAATGGTTTAATCAGTGTATGCATGTGTTTTTGTTTACTAATTTGCTCGCCTACAATTTCTCCCTGCAGATGTCTATTGTTTACACCATTTGCTGATAGATTGGGATCATGAGAACACACACACAGTCAAATTATCTGCTCTGTCGACCTCGTATAAACGAATTTTGTGCCTAAATTTACGGTTAAACAGAAATCATGGTGACTTTATGCAGCTTAAAATTATCCTCATGAATCAGTCATGTATATCATATAGAATACATACATACTGTCCTCACGCCAATTTGTTATGTAACTGAATTTTCGGCTATACTATTAAAACACTTCATGTAAAATTTAAGTGGCTGATTTTAACTTTAAGCACAGGAGTGTGACAAACCAATCAATTGGAGAGGGTAATTTTATGTATAAAGTATATATTTATATTTATGAAAATAACGAATAAAATGGTATGAAGCTGTAACAGAGGATACTCTTCTCTGATGCCTGACAAAACTGATTCCCAGTTTTACACTGGAGTGTCAGTAAAGTAGTTAAACTACATTCTATAAGGATTACTAATCCTAACCCGAACACTAATCTATCTGTAACGTAACCCTAACGCAAAACTGTCTCTAAGCTGGTCGTTTTCTAACTCAAACCAATCTAATATCTCTCTTATTAGGTTAACCTAACTTTAACTTTCCCTTAGCCTAGACCTTTAACCTTTCCAAAACCTAAACTAAAACTTACCAGATATCGTGTTTAACATCATGATACTTCAATAAGCATGTTTTATTCATGATTATAGTGTTATTTACCAGGTTTCACTAACTTCCAAGGTCACTAGTGCGGTCGCACTCCTTCCGTGCTTAATGTTTAACTTGCCTATTTCAGTGACATTTCCGATCCATGGGTTGCCCTTCCGTTTTTCCCAGCTTTTCTAAAGACCAATTCACCACTGGTTATTAATTCTCGACATTAATCAGTTGGACAAGGTCATCATGAATAATAAATGCTGGACCAATTGCCCCTTACTCAAAAACAAAAGTTCATAAGCTATCTCTTTGTTTTTCTTTTGGGCTCAGGTGTTATTTTTACTGATAATAGAGGTCAGAGTGAGAAAACTTAGGGACGCACGTCGCCTGTAGACGTACAACAATTACAAGGAAAAGCCTAACATTCATTTGCTTTTAAAATAAATGGAGTTAAAATGAAACTATGAATTAAGTAACCAGCACTTTTTATTGACATTTAGTAACAAAACAGACATTTTCTCAAATGTCATCAATTTTTTCCGACTGAAATTTTCAGTTCTGCAGTTTACAAATGATACATAGTGTGTAGTTTAGCGTCATAACGTCTACTGTGATCCAAGAGGTAGAATGCGAGCTTATGCACTGAAGTAATTTCGATAGTGTCTTCATTATTAAAGTGTGAAAAACATTGTTGGATTTTTCTACTTAAATTACGGATTTATTCAAGCCTCAAATATCTTGTGTTAAGTCACTAGAAATCTGTTCATTTTAATGGGATTAAACATTTGTTTTCACGCTGTTTGAATTAAGAGGCATTATTTGTCAAAATAAATCTTTTAATTAAATAAACTCAGTGAAATAAAATCACAGAGAGGCTTTGAGTGAGTCGTATACATATTGAATATGATGTAATATTATCATCATCAAAAAGCCTTACCTGTAGCACAAGTAAAATGTGAATAAACCGCTCTTTCTTTGTCTGGATTTAATTCTTGATACATTTTCAAAATAAAATTACGTGCAGCTATCGCATCTTTTACAGGGCCTAAATAAATATTAAAACAGATAAAAATGTTTAATCAGAGAAAGAGTTCTGCTACAATGTATTATTATTATTGTTTCTTTTAGTTCCTAGAGGAACATGGGGCTTCATCCCCACGTCTCAATCGCGTTCAGTTCTCTGACAACGTTTTCACCTGGCTCCACGTCAGCCCACATGCTTTCATCTCCTCTTCACATGACTTCCTCCATATCACTCTCTCACTGACGGCCAACTCGCCGTTTCCCATTAGGGTTCCACTTGAGCGATGGCCTGGCGTGTGATGTCACTTGATGGTTTTCTCAGAGTATGGCCAGTCCACCTTCATTTCTCCCTGCATATTTGTTGCACAATTAGCTTCTGCTGGGTTGGTTTGCTCCTAGAGATCCCTGCTGCTTATCATTTTCAGCCATCTGGTCTTGAGTATTGAGCGAAGACAGCTGTTGTTGAAGGTCTGTAGTTTGTTCGAAGTGGCCTTCGAGACACGCCAAGTCTCCGATCCGTATAGTAGCACTGATTTTGTATTGGAGTTGAAAAGCCGGATATTATATTTTATGCTGAGTGCCGTTGGTCTGCACACAGACTTGAGGGTAATGAAAGCTTGCCCTGCTTTCCCAATCCTTGCTTTGATATCCTCATCAGTTCCGTCCGCCTGTAGTTGAAACTATGCATCCCTGGTCGGTAGGTTAAGGGGGTTTCTTCTTTCAGATTCCCTCCGTTTATGCTGATTGTTGTCTATTGTTGTTGCTGTCACTGTTGGCCAGGAATCTTCATCACCTCTGTTTTCTCCACGTTCACCTGAAGTTCTTCCTATCTTTGATGCTTATATTGCCAACTTGTTGCTTTTCACTCGCATATCTTCAGGTTTGTGAGAAATCAGGCATATATCATCGGCGAAGCTACTTTATTTCTTTGGCATTTTGAGACAAAAGTTTTATTCATTTTCAATTTAACCGTAACTAGTCGTGTCTAGGATCATATCTGAACAGTATGATTTATCAGTCACACTTCACAAAAACATCCTACCTGATATATCACACTGATAAGCATGAGAAACGCTCACTAGACTTCATAAATTAATCTTTTATGTATTCACCTGTACCAAGTAGCTTCTAAATAGTTTACATTAGCAACTAGACTGATAGAATAGACTGAACTTCACCTATTGGTATGTCAGTTAAGTTGCGCAGTATATATATATATTCACTTTGATGTTTTAACATTTGTAACTCCAACACTTGTTCGGAAATACAGACAAAAAGTTGCTAAAACTTAGAAATGCAAACACTATCATAGCAATCGAACCATGGGAAAGAAAAAAGTAACAATGTTCCAAAAAAAACAATAAATACGGAATGATAAACTGATGTTTCCTTTAAGCAAATATCATTTTCATTCTAGTCATAGGCACAAAACTTATATATTAAATTTAACTGGAAAATCAATGTAGATTACCTGTAAACTTTGGAAAATAATCAACCAGATTAGAATATTGTACCTTTTCTTCTAAAATATCTTTTTTATTTAAAAATAATATGATTGATGAAGTTTGAAAACATGGGTAGTTAATAATAGTACGAAAAAGTAAAAGACTTTCTTCCATTCTATTCTGAAAAGTAAAAAAAATAGGCATGCACATTAGGTAAGCATTTAATTTGTCAGTTATAATAAAAGCATAATCACTGGTTAACATTTAGTAAACTAAATATCACACCATGTAGCTAGAGCTCTTAAATAATCTTCTGAATGAAAGCGGTTTTCAACATAGAGTAAGCAGGAAATGGGGTAGAAAAGTTATATGAAGAAAGTGGAATACTAAAAGAGCCTCGATTTCAGTCATATGTCGTGAATAGTGATGTGGTGTAGAGCCATAAAATTGAAATTTTTCAGATAGAACAGTAACAAGTAAGACTCTTTGGAGGGTTTCATCATGAGCCGACATTGTGTAACCAATTACTCAAATCCCTACAAACCAATACTTGAAAATAAGATTGTCTTGTAAATAAGTTTAGAGTAATTGAACTATGAAGTTTATTCAAACCCAAACGCCAACATAAGTAGTATTGATAAGAATTGGCAAATAAACTTTGTATCAGAATACATATATGACTTCCTGGAACATTATTGAAGACCATAACCTCTATAAGCAACTGAGTAGATTTCTGATTCTTCAAATGGTGATATAAAACTATGAGGAAGAAATTTTCAAAGTGATTAAATGTCTGGCGAAAAAAATTGGCATCAAAAAGAACTAATCAACATTATGCAGTACATGCACACCGTGAATAACACAGTCTGCTGAGACATTCAATTGACATCCCATGGAACCCAGATGCGAAGCGACAGGCTAAGCGTTCGACACGAAATTTATCTGAGAAGAAAATGAAAGCGTAGGTGCAGTCTCAAAGCCACTTTACAATGATAACAGAGAATTTCAATAAGATGAAGATATGCTGCTAAAGCCTTTTTTGCGCTAAGGATGCAAGTAATGAAAAATAGAGTTTAATTCAAAACGATATTTTTAATCATTTATAAACTAGGTACATTTAGCGTTTTTACACTTTTTGATCGATCCAGAATATAGCAGTTTCAGCCTATTTCTATGCTGTTTTTCAAAAAAGTGGTAAAATAAAAACTAACACAAATCATAAAGTATATAACCGCTTTTCAGTGCTATAAAACAAAAAAAGCCCCTTAGCAATAGATTTATTTGCCTTCTACTTATCTGAACTATCTTTCCTGATATGTAGCAGTTATTCATATGTTTATTTATTTTAAGATTTATTTATCAGAAAAGCTTATGCATATCTCTTCAAGAAATTTTTTCCAGCTGTGAAGATGACAAAAGGGAAAAGTTGGTAGGAGGTAACTTTTATTCAGTTCAAAATAGATATATTCCTAATTAACTGAATTTATTTACTTTTAGATTTCGACTGTTTTTACACACTACAGATAATATCTATCTATATAACTAAACAAACTATTTTAAAATTTCATATGTTCCAAGAAATAATCAGTTATTTTCATCTAATCAACCGAGTATCGATATTAAAAAAGTGAAATATGCCATCACCACATGAACGTGTAAGGCATAACTAGAACTTGTGTGTCTGTGGTATAGCGGTAGAATGCTCACCAAACACGCATGTTGTCTGGAGTTTGATTCCCGGCCGACACACTCGTTTACCTCGCTAAGCCGGTAGGATCAGTAAAGAGGGGAGATTAGACATGAGGCTAGCAACCTCACCTCATTAAAATAAACACCACTGCTACTGAAACTTCAAAGCTCTAGCTTGAAGTCCTCTGTTCCACCAGGAACGTAAAGGAATAAAAATTGTTTTAAAAATTCTAAGCACTTATATTTCTGTTACTTTAGGCAGAATATCTTCATTCTTTTAGGCAGTCCTATAAAACTCTGTGGATCAAGTTATTCTGTAATCATCATTACGATTTCACAAAAAAAATAGTGAAGCAAAACAATTATTGTGGAAGTATCTGTCCCATCTTGATCACCGTTCATATAATTCAACATAGTATTTACTAAAGTGAAATGATGTTAGGCGAATAAATGTATTCAATCGGATAATTTTGATTCCAGATGAGCACCTGGTCCAAACCGGCCACAGAGCCAGCAGTTAAGAATCCTTTATTATCACCTACCGGGTACAAAATAAATTGCGAAAAATATCCAGGTACCGCATACTCCAAACAGCAGAGGCCATCGCGATTCGCCTTAGAAAAGCAAGTCCAGCCACTACTACCCTGGTCAGCCCTCAGTGGAGGCTATAAATCCATGAGTTTGTATTATTATCTTGCCTAATCTTTCTGATAGTCAGTATATTGCTATGTTGATGCTATCGTACTGTAATCCATTTATATTATTATTGATTCGATTTTATTTAAACATTAATTCATTCACTATTATGTACGTATAACTGTAGAACCTGATGAAGAGCAGGTTATCGAAAAGAATATTCTTTGTTCAGCATCCATTCTTTTGAAGAAATTAAACTTACTGTTCTCGATGAAAATTATCTGATTTATAAGGTTGACACGTTTCTAGCTGTGCTTTTTCAGTCATGTAACAAAGAATCAAATTTTCTTTTTTGTTCTGATCATCTCTTCTGTACATGATCTTACGGCATCTAAAATGTAGCTTATGTGATAACCACTAGCAGATAAGTTTATCATTTTTGTCGCTGTTCAAAATACGAGTGCTAGTAAACACCAAATGCCAGTTTAAATTTATACTTTACATACTGCTTTGTTTTAGTCGACGACAGCATTATATTGCCTTTTAGGAATCAGTAAACGTTAAATGAGTGTTGTGCTGTAGATTGGTTAAAGATGCTAGTCAAATTTAATAATCGTTAACTTACATAAAACGATAATTATACAAACAACTTAAAGAGCTTCCTAGCTATTCACTTCCAATTCAGAATGTACCATACAGCTTTAACTGCACATCATAGAGTTTGATTAATATGACTACTGACTAACTGACTGTGTTTCGAAGCAGAATTTTAAACAGAAGTACAGAAGTTCAAGTTGTCAAATTCCATATAACATAAATAGTGAAGGATGAAAATTTCAAAAATTATGTGCGTATTGATGAAGAGTCCCAAACTAGGACGAAACGGCCGTCCAGTACTTCCTTCAGATTTTCCAATGGTTCTCTAACCGATGTCAGCTCATGATGAAATCCTCCAGCCAATCATACAAAATCCCTATAAACGAATACTTTAAAATAATAATGTGCCAAAAATGCATGGGTGAAAGAATAATTACATTGCGAAACATGAGGATCTAATGGATATAATAGATTACAAAGAGCGAATGCATCTGCGCCATTGAGAATGATACTCTCAAGCTGTTGGTTCATAGTGTTTCGAGGATCATAAAGACAACGCCTTACTAGATGTATCACACCAACAGCTGAAGGATTAATGGATTGATGCCAGGCTTTAGTTTGACCACCCCTAACTCTTTTGCAATCTAATCACATATCATGTCAACATTACTCACTATTTTATACCACTTAACGCGGCAGGTAGAATGCAAGCGCCTGTGGTCAAAGACAGCTAACCTCTTAAGGTCTGCCTCTTATAATGGTCATATTTCATAGCTATAAAGAAGTACAGAGTTAACTGCTGATCAGTACACACGTACTCTGACTGATAACCGGTCATCATATCAACCCCAGAGATAATGTGGTGAATGCTACATTAGCCTTTTTTAACCTTTCATTTATATAAGTTAGTCTTATTTTCTAAAAACTCAGAGGCTTTATGTACCATTTTTAAAAACAAAAACTTTGATAGATGTGAATTTTGAAGATTACATTAAAACCAACTCCTCATGTAATTGAATACTTAAGTATTTTCAAGTGAATTGCATTTCTAGAACTTCCGTATTAATTTATTCTTAGAATGATTGATTGTTTTGTTTTATTTATGGTTTGATATTGACATTTTTGTGATTTGGTCGACCTACTTTGCATTTTCTTTCACTTAAGCATTCATCACACCACTGAGTACTCTGCTTAGCATGAATCTAATTTTTGTTTACCTTTAATAAGAAAACCACTTCTTCTGAAATCGACAACAAGATTTATTATGTTTTGAGTGTGCTTTTCCAAAATATCCGCAGTTTATCGCAAAGTAAATAATTCTTGAGTCAAAACAAATTTTGTGAGTAATTGGGGAAGCAAAACAAAAAAATGAAATTGTTTTCGTCAATTGGTGTTGGTTTTAGTTTCAATGTGAAAGTAAGATGTTATCTAACAGAATAATGTGATGTATGTTCTACTTTATGTAAAATAACGTAACGGTTAAGATAAACCGCTAACTGTCATTTAGTTGATTGAATTCCTTTTACTTTACTCTAGGAGTATAACATAATCATCATTTTCATTGAGAAAGAAAGAATTCAGTGTATGCACTTGCATTTAATCACAAAACATATATCTCCGGGAGCAGTTACACTGGAAGAAAAGAGTGAAGAGCCTATTTCAGATTCTTCGAACATGTACCAAGGAGCTTCCGGTTAAAAGAGCCAATTGGTTAGGCTCTTGAATTACCAGACACCTGATAGATACTGCACATTGAGTAGGCGCGCTGGCAATATTCAAAATATTTAACAGAGAAGTCTTCTTCGGTTTGTTGAGGCTATCACAATAAAACGGCTGAAACCTGACTTATGTGTTCAAAAGGAATCTGTCATTGAACTCCAATTACCCTGGTGACTCATCCTTTAATAACTCTTGGTGTTCTAACTTCACTAACTTATCTTTTCAACTCTCCCCTCTCCACCCTTCGCCTAGTTTCTGCTGTTTGACTTACGTAAGAGATAATTTTTCTTGACCTCATGAGTTCTATTCACCATATTACATCATCACCTTTTCATCTAACCTATTACACACCAAATTTTGATCTTCTTCTATCTAACTAAGTAACCGTTACTAATTTTTGGTTACCACCCTAACAACAAATTTGTCAGTTAATTTCCCAGAAACTTCTCTCCAACAAGATTTATATGTATATATACTTACACTTCAGGTATCTTGCCGTCCTGATGTTTCACCTCACCATGATACTCTTACAATAAGCT